TGATAATTAGGAAAATGGGCAAAAGAGGAAATTGGTTTTTAAATGATCTTTCAGACGAGGTTCAGTCGCCGTGTACTGCCATCTGAAACATTCAGTTAAGCAGACATAAAAACCAGCCAGAGGTGTATAACGTTGACGCATTTGTTAAGAAATGGGTCTTGCTTCACAACAAAAACAAAAATAGTTTATTGATGACACGCAGGAATAGTCATAATCAACTGCAAAATTCAGTAATTCTTGTTATATGCTTGTTTTAACGTGAAAAATATCATACATTATTATCTGCTTGTAAGTGGAAAGATCTTTCAAACAAATGTTTATGGCAAACCACCGCATCCTGACATAAAAAATCACCCTGCTGTTTTATTTTCTTCTGAATGACAATGGCAGTTGGTAAACTGTAAAACAAACCTCGCAAAAGATAAGATCGTATTCACCTTACGTCTACCTGTTCAGGTCACTTAAACTATTAAAACTGGGCAAAAAACTCAAAGCAAGTAGAACTTGAAAGAAGTTGTTCTATTTTTTAGGGAAAAAAATAGGTTTCCTTAAATGTGGTGTAAAAGAAGTTTTCCACTTGAGCATCGGTCATACAACTAGAAATAACTAAGGGCACATTTACACTCATTCAAATTAACCTGCTTTGTTTATGTCTAAAAAAATTCTGCCAAAACGCAAACACAGCCTATTACTAACGCGCTGACGCAGTTAGAAACCTGTCTTATCAGGAATAAGCCGTCTGTACCAGTGACTCTAACAAGAAGCCTTAAATGTTTAGGCGGAGATGCTGCCCTGGTGAGGTTCACTGTCACATACGTCAAATGTACACTAATATGTTGCCGCTACCGCTTGCTACGATAGGCAAAGTAAACAGCGTCGACGAATTTGCAAGGAACAGCTGACAAGGAGGTGGTCTTACAGATAGAATGTACAGAAAATTGCTTGGGCTAACCACCTACAGTATATGCACTATCTCATGAAATATGTTCGATAACGTAATAAAAGTCATTTTTCTGGAAGTCAGCACCCGCGGCGTGCCCCCAAACTATTATAACAGTAAATTAAGAACCATAAGTAAAAAGAGTCAGATTTTGGTTGAGAAATTACTATTAACTAGAATGACAAATTTAATTTTCACAAAAATCTGCAAACTCAGATAATGGCAATATTAAATGTCACTGGTCAAATGTGAAAAATAAATATGTTTAAGGCATGGTAATGGAAAAGAATGGCAATTTAATCCAGAGTAAGTACGGATACAAAATTTTTATAAATTAAATTGTTTCCACTAACATTTAAACATGTATTCAATGTGTCAGAAATGGATGTGGTCACCTAAACTACATTTTGCTTCCCAGTGTTGGTACTTTGTAAAAATTTCCGTTTTAAATGCACAAAAAGATTCTTGCGTGCTTTGTATCAATTTCTATGGACAATTGCACAAAGATTTTATATGGTTCTCATATCCCGGCTGTTAAGCGGAATAAAAAAAAATTAAAGGTCACACATGGATAGGCTGGCTGTTTACTAAAAAAAATTGATTGCGGTTGTACTTGCAGTCAAATTCCTACCATCTTGTGTATATTGAAAGAAATGTCCGTTTGCCACATTTTTAAAAATTATTTCGAGAGTTCGAGTGCGACAAGCAGCAAACTGTTCTCAAAATTTTGCTGAACACTTTACGAAATTCACTGTTTTGCTTTTTATGTCCATGTATACCGACTCTGTTCAACATATTTACCGAAAACCTAGAAATTATAAATATCT